CCGGTTCACTATATTTGGCATCGTCAGCTGATCTCCCGAGCATCTCCGGAAATATCCGAACATTAAACAGTTACAGTTCGCCATATATGGCAGATGCCTTGATTGGATGGAAGCTGTGATTGGTTGAATGTTGTTTACATGGATAGAATGTCTTGGAACTGGCGTGGGAAAGTGGCGCCAAGGCGGCGGGCTGCAATAGATCAAAGGCGATGGGCGGGGCGACAAAATAGTGGCCACATGCGTACACGGGTGCCACACGCGCTGCTCAGCTGAGTGTATATCGAATTCGGCAGCTTTTGGTGAGGCCCAAAAATGGGTTGCGCGCCTGACAAACGTATGAACGGCTGACATTCTGATTGTGAATGTTCGTTATTTTTCCAGTGTCCCAAAAATGTCCCAAAGTGATTTTTCAGTTGTCCCGGCCGAAATTTTAGTGGCCAGGGGACATCGGGACATCGTTAAGTTCGAGCCCTGTTTATCCCCTCAAGGAGTCCGTTTTTCAAAATGTTCCAGAGGTGGTTTATATTAGATGATGGCTCTGCGGCCCGTACTTTATCAGCTAGGTTATTTGCAAACTCTCTGAAGCCTTCCCAATTAGCCTTGGCATAAATAGGGACTTTGCGCGGGATTTGCCGCCGCCTCAGAGGTTTCACCTCCAACTCTGTGTACACAGCAAGATGGTCACTTATCCCGGGGATTACCTGAGTTCTGTTTATCTGTGCCGGGCGGTTTGTAAGTATGAGATCCAGGGTGTTTACACCGCGAGTTGGGTCTTCCACTATTTGGGTGAGGCCATTATCTTGCATTGAATCAGCAAATTGTCTGTGTTTTGCAGAATGACTGGTTCTGGGTTTCAATGTCTTATTCCCCCAATCCCAGCCTGGTAAGTTAAAGTCGCCACCAAGTAGGATTGGTAGCATTGAAACTGAGTAAAGTTACTATAGCTATGGATTAACTGTTAGAATTGTATTTTAGCATAGTTTGTGTATCTACTCTTGCTGTTTCTCTGCCTACATTAGCTAATGGACACTCCTCTGGCCAATGCTGCTACCGTATGATCTGCTTGGAGATTAAATACATTGTACCAGTTACAAGTGTTAAACAATAAAGTTATTATCATGAAAGTTCATGAGGTGTTCGTGAGTGTCTGTAAACTCGAGAAGGCTTAAATGGACTGTCTTCATACTTGATGAGACCTAGAAATGATTAGATTTTGGGCCTCCTCAGGTGGCTTGTTGTGGTACCGCAGCTGAACTTCCGTTTTTGATTATCTCATGATCCGGACGTGCTAGGGTCACGAAATTTGAATGGTAGGTAGGTCTTGTACAGGGAAGAAGTGACGTAGTAGGTTTGGGCCTTGCCATTTGAATTTTGCGTAATTCGAAGTCTATCGATGTGTTTAGCATATCTTATGCACAAATTAACAATAGATCGTGGCCGCTTTCTTGTAGAATTTAGTGTAAAGCGTGATCGGGACCTTCCCACTAATATAGTAATAAACAAAGTGAGAGGTTGACACATTATGCAATTAGGATTTCTACTTGAAATGTAGCATGCATTTAAGGGGAGTTTAGGTACTGTAGACAGTCAAGTTTTGAAGTCAATCATTGCAACAGTAACTACATACATTTATTTTATTTTCTTGGTTAACGGATTCGCCGCTTCATTTTTTTTTCTGATTTGCAAATAAAAATAAGAATTCAGAATCAACTGCAAAATGCTCATATTTTGCCGTGAACAGTTGAAAACAGTCCTTTTCATACTTCTTGTTACAGTTATTCCATCTTTCAATACAGTGGTATCATTAAAAGTTCAAAATTCATTGTCAGAATTTTGAACCAGCCTGGTGTGATGACTTCATGGCTCCTATCGTACCATTTTGGGCCATAATAGGATGCCTAGGCCTGTTTTTATTTTTTATTTTTATTTTTTTCGCCCGCCCCATTATTTTTTAGAAAAGTCCGTTAACCAAGAAATTAAATTGGTGTGGCCTTTAAAGGGCAGTCGTAAAAGAGATATTGTTAAAATGTACATGTAAATATATAAATGGTTTATTTGCAAATTGACATAAAACTAAGACAACATTGCAGCCTATAATAACAATGTATTGTACAAAAGACTGAATTACATAGCTTTAGGGAACAACAAAATATCATTAATATTTACAAACGTAGCCAAACTAAATAACAAGAATATACACAATTGGTAGTAAGGTGATTACACGGTAGACGAAGCACTGTTTAAGAGTTTTGACTTGTAGCAATGCCAACCTTCTGTTGGAAACTTCAGGGTCGTCTCATGTAGATCTAGTACTAGTAGTAGAGTTTGACAGTAATGTTTTGTGCTGGCAGACTTTATTTGATGAGCTTGAGACTAGGCCTCGGGCCTGGATTTTGGAGCAGGAGGTTTGAATAGCTGCAAGCTAAGTACGTTAACAGTGATAACAGAGTTTGAGTTTATATCACTGCTTGACAAAATACAATTCCTCTCTTCCCGTTTGTTCTATATTTCCAATTCTTGTCCCTGGGCTTTTAAGCCTGGAGGAGGAATTTCTGTCCCAGGGTTCAAACTTATATGCTTCAATTCTGTGTAGTAGACTTGTTGACTTACAAATTTGTCCGTCATCAGGCCTACTACGCTAACAGAGAGGGGCTTTGACGCTAGGTTTGGTTGATTGATGTATGTAGGCCTGTTATTTAAGTTAACTCACACATTATGTCACACTTTTTCAACACTTTGGACCCTTACACTGAAATTTCCCACCAAAAAATTTGAGACCTTCACTTAGGCCACACCAATTTGATTTCTTGGTTAACGGATTTTTAATTAAAGAAAAATAATGGAGCGGGCGGGCGAAAAAAAAATAAAAACAGGCCTAGTCATCCTATTATGGCCCAAAATGGTACGATAGGATCCAGCCATGAAGTCAACATACCACGCTGGTTCAAAACTTAATCAATGAATTTTGAACATTTAATGATACTAGTACCACTGCATTGAAAGATGGAATAACTGTAACAACTAGGAAGAAAAGAACTGTTTTAAACTGTTTAGGGCAAAATATGAGCATTTTGCACTTGATTCTGAATTTTTATTTTTATTTGCAAATCAGAAAAAAATGAAGCGGCCGAATCCGTTAACCAAGAAATTAAATTGGTGTGGCCTTAGTTAATTGTTTTAATTCTTGTCGGGAAATGTAATTGGCATCTTTACTTCCCCAAAATTGTCACTTTAGACCTGAACACTTGGTTGATGAATTGTGTAAAAACATTTTCGCCCAAATCCTGCCTGACAAAAAACACTAAGGATAATTGGGACCCTCAAGTAGATAATTAATTGGATTAAGGTTTTCCCGCCAAAAAACTTAGTATATGGGCATCCTGACCTTTGACCTTTACTCATTCTCTGAACACCTAGCCACCACACTTCTGCTTGCTACACCCAACCAACTCACACTGTTCCAATGCTTTGAACCTTTACGCTTAACTTCTCCAAACACTTTGTGATACTCATGCTATGTCAGACCAACCTTCCGAAATACTTAGTTACTTAAGTGAGACTTTTCTGCCAGAATGATTGTCGCTCTACTGGTCAGTCAATGCACAGAAGTTTGCTCCCCTGGGGATGTCTTTGCGGAGACACGGTGTTTCGACACACCAGCATTCCTGTGCAATTGACTGACCAGTAGAGCGACAATCATTCTGGCAGAAAAGTCTCACTCAAGTAACTAAGTGTTTCGGAAGGTTGGTCTGACATAGCATGAGTATCACAAAGTGTTTGGAGAAGTTAAGCGTAAAGGTGCAAAGCAAAAAATTGGAACAGTGTGAGTTGGTTGGGTGTAGCAAGCAGAGAAGTGTGGTGGCTAGGTGTTCAGAGAATGAGTAAAGGTCAAAGGTCAGGATGCCCATATACTAAGTTTTTTGGCGGGAAAACCTTAATCCAATTAATTATCTACTTGAGGATCCCACGTATGCTAAGTGTTTCTTGGCAGGCAGGATTTTGGCAAAAAATTCATCAAGCAAGTGTTCAGGTCCAAATTGACAATTTTGCAATGAATTCAGGATAACAATGTGGAATTCAAGTGGCCAATTACATTTTGCAACAACAGTGATCGGCTTCTCAAAAAAGGCATCCAGACCCTCAGAGTGGAGTGTTGTCTTGTGTTCAAGGTGGAAGAAGAGTGTGACTAAGTGTTTGGGAAAGTTGAATGGAAACGTGGAGCACAAGAAAGGGTGATGTACCGTGCAATTAAAACCAGAGTTAAAGGATGAAAGGCAAGTAGCCTGGGTGCCATCCTCCGTCGTTTTCGTCCGCTCCCTAATGTTGCTGGGCCGTGGCATTAGGGAGCGGGGAAAAAAACTACGAAGGATGGCACCCAGGCTAAAATGCAAGGAAAGGAGAATGTAAGTGAAGCATCGGAGCGCAGACAAGAGTGAGTGACGTACCGTGCAAGTTAGGGTGTGACTAAGGCCCCACTTCCACTACGGTAAAATTGTCCGGATCAACCCGAATTAATTCACTTTGATCCGGCTTGAAGCAGAAGCGAATCAATTCGGCTTGATCCGGACAATTTTACCGTAGTGGAATAGGGGCCTTCGACTGAAAAGTTGAGCGTGCAAAAGCAGAGGAAGATTTTAAGTGAAGAGTTTAAGTGGTTAGGGAATTTACTGGTAAGTGCAAAGGTCCAAAGCGTCAGGAAAAGGGTGATGTACCATGCAAGTTTGAGTGAAGGGTTTAGCAAAAGGGTGAAGAAAGATGTTGTAAGTAAAGGCAAGTAAAGATAAAGACAAGAAGTCCAGAATGTGAAGCATTTAAAGAGTTGTGAAAGTTAAGTGAGAAGTGTAAAAGAGAAATGAGCATGGTGGTCTGATATTCTTTTCTGTGGCTGGGCACATTCAGCAAAGTATCAAGTTACTTGAGACAATTTGGGGCTAGCTGTGAAATTTTTCAAAATAGTCTGGACAAGAGTTTTGTTAACTAGTGATTCTACAAAAAATTCCCTAAAACACAAATCTTTTTGTTCCAACAACAACATTAATTGGACGCTCCTTGATGTTTGAATTTGCAATAGCAATTTGAATTTGCAATATAGCATTTATGTCCACACCTAAATGACTGAATAGGTGTACTTTCCAGAGAACAGTTTATTTGTGCAAAAATTTCTTTCTGATACAAGGTAACGCTACATGTGAAAAATGGCATGAAGTTTTTCTGTACTTGTCTGCTAGTGGAACATGCATTTGGTTCAAATATGAGCCAAATTTAACCACCATGTAAGTTTGACAGTGAAGGTTACAAGTAAGTGGAAAAGGAAATTGTGCAAAGCAGAGTTAGAGGGTATAAGGATAGAAATGTATGCAGGTGTGTGTACTTGGTTGTGTTGCACAAATAAACTATACTCACAACCTGTGACCCATGTGTCTTTTCTCACTGCTTTACTGGTAAAAGTCTGGTCCTTTCTTCAGTATGTAGAGAATCCACCACAAGTCATATGAAGAGGAAAACAAAAGTCAGCACATACATTGTATGGGAGCAATTCACATCTTATAGTCAGAACTAGGATGTCATAATTACACTGCCTGCAACATACTTCTTTTCACTGGGGAATGTAACATAATTGTAAAAATCCAAACTTTCTTTTGTTCCAAAATTTATATCTTGGAAGAAATAAATAGTACCGGTAAGTTTCAATAAATTGTCTCACCTGTAAAATCTTTTCACTCTATGTCTTCAAGTCAACTGGATTGTTGAGCCTTCATCTAGTCAGGTTTTCTGGTTTGCACATTAGATGCCAGTCATCACCGGTTTCTCCCAGTCAGGACAGCTGACCCTCGGGACACACCTACTGATACAAGAGGATTGTTTTTGTGACAATAAGTGATAAAATTGTATAATCGAACTAATTCCAGAAAGTCCCCTGCAGTTCCAAAACAAGCTGCTAGGGGAACCAAACCTACACCACTTACATGTATTCCTGATGGGAAAAGCTACTAGTATCTGTCACCAAAAAGTCAAGACCATAGCATGTTCATGATCAGGACAAAAGATACAAAAACTGGATGTTCTGCTTCAGTACCAAGGTCATCCACCAGGAGGCCCATATTTGGCCTTGACCTTTGTCTTCCTAAGACTTATCAGCATACTAAATATCATCACAATCCATAAAGGTGTTATGAAGTTATGCCGACTACAACGTTGCAGAAACACACACTACAAAGTCTGTTCTCTTCAGACACACACACGGACAGACACGCCAAAAACAATACCTCCATTTTTCATGTAGGTAATTAGAAACGCGGTCGCTCTCTAATACAGAGCTAGGTCATTTCTTAGTACTGTAATTCTTACGGAATATAACTTGACATGTTCGTCCTATAGTTGCTAGGGGAGCCAAACAATTTGCTGGTTTACCTGCAACAATATGCAAAGTCGTCTTCACGCCACGCTACTCTTCCCAACACTGTCTCGCCATTTTGTCCTCTCCAAAAAAGAGTCCAAAATTCGCCCGGTCAGGAAATCCGCATTTTCTCTTCAAAACATCACCAGAACGGCACAAATCCACAGGGAAAACTCCCAAACATTCTGCTGCACACTTTATTAAAACATTCTAAAGACGAAAACTCTAAAAAGTACCCAAAAATTTGTTTTGAAAAAAAAATCAGCCCGAAGCACGATTTCAGCACAGGCGAGCCATTCCCCGATTCAAAATGGCCGTCGTCTGGATTATTACATTATCATAGTAGGGGACACAGGGCTCAGCAAAGAAAAAAACTTATAATATATAAAGCACTCTTTCGATTTTGAACGGATCATGCCAAACTTATTGTTGTTTTGAAGGAGGCGGGGAATAGTGGCTCGAGCCTTACTCCAATATATGCTTCCGCCAGATTTATCTCTGGGCTGGCATTCAACCCCGGCAGGTGGAATCTGGTTGATAAATGGTCATAATCAATATTGTTTAAACTGAATAATATAGTGTTTCACACTATTCGCCTGTACCAATATCTTGATCGGCAACATAATCGGGATGGTATTTCTAGGAGTTTTTTGTTTCTTTTGATGGGAAAATGTACCGCTATGGACTTGAAATTTTCCTGACCTCTCTGAAACTTTCCCAAGCCTGGTTGGGGTGCGGCGAAATGTTCTCTCAGCGGACAAACTCCCTTGGCATGCTTGTCTCTCTATTTCAGTATTTGGCCGATTTTTACTCTTTCCAGCCGCCTCCCTAAGCCCGGTAGAGGCTAGGTAACGTCCACATGGGCACATCGGCACACCACCTCTGTCTACTGTGGTATTTCCCAAACTTTCCTAAACTTTTACAGCACATTAAAAAGTTTTGAATAGGGTCCTGCCCATATTTATCTCAGGGGCGGTCACGAGAGGCTGAAACTTGAAGCTTTCTCCTGACTTGGAAAGGGACATTTGCATTTCTAGTCTACATGGTCCAACTTTGTTGACTTTTCTAGCTATACTGCACGCACTCTACAATTCGCAATCATTAGTTTTTAATGAATGTGCTTAATTAGGCTAGAGACAATCACGTCAAAGTTTGTCCTAACTCGTTCCATCACCGACCCCTACGCCACCGTCTTGCTTTGTGACATTTAAACTGTGATGACGTAAATGGTCACAAGAGGCGGGTCACCAGAGGCAACGCAAGGATGGAGACGTCCCCAGATGTCCTCATGTCCTGGTAGCCGGCGATTTTTCTGATCTTTCCTCAGTTTCCGAACTCAGATTCAACTTTTGTTTGTTTCTATTTAACTCCTTAATTCCTAGACTTGGACTTAAGGATTTTGGAAAGTATTGCCCTTAGGCGCTTGAGAACCCTTATATGCATCTGCAAATCCGGAAACCTATTCTTGCCTCACAGCTCAACAGCGACATCTGTCCGAAAAGCAACGAATTGCAGATCAATAACAACAGGATTGACATGTGCCATTTTCCAGGTCAGCTATCTACTTATCCAACTACTGCTTTAGTTTTTCCACGAAAGAAACTCATCCTTGTTGTATCACTTTAAAAGTAGTTTCAAGTTTATGAATACTTTCCCCTTCCTTGAATTTATAGTTGTTATATTGAGGAAAATTACTAGTATATTCAGCAATGACTAACACACGCACACTCCGCCCCCCCCCACTGTAGACAACAAATGATGATACAGCAATAGTGATGCATACCTAAACCCACATTTAGGTTCAGGTCCGGATTCAAGTCCAGAGGTTTAGGTTCAGTTCCGGACTTGTAAGTCCGGACCTAAACCCATGGCATATACAAAATTGCATGTTGGCAACCTTGCAATGTTGTCTGAGTGAAACTTTGGCCACATAACATGGAGGCCGGTATTTGACAATGCCCGATGGCAATGTTTTCTTCATTTTGCAGCAAAGATTTTGCAATCTACGGAAGGTTTTAGGTGGTTTGGAAAAAAAGGGGTATGTAAAATGGTATTTTATGGTAATAAGTCCGGACTCGGTTCTTGACTTTTAGGTTTTTTTGGACTTGAACCTAAACATTCTTTTAAGTCCAGATCCAAGTCCAGTGAACCGGTATGCACCACTATACAGCAATAAAGTAGAACCTACTATAATCTTCTACTATCAAGTGAATGGAGTTACTGCTGTTTTCCACAAGTTTTGCAGTTTTACTACAATGCAGTGATCAGATGGCATTTCAGCACCAAGGAAAGTTAGTAATGATTTAGTTCCCTACTGTGCCAGGAATACTGAGGAAGCTCGCTGTTTTATTTCTACTTGCAGATGGGGTTGCTGCAGGGAATATCTCATTTGGCCACAGCAAGTAAATTTCATGGATGCCTCCTTCCGCAAACTCCAAATCTTGTGCGATAGGGCGATAAAAAAATTGAATTTTCTTCTTTTCCTTTGATTTGATTTTATTGTTTGCACATTATCAAGACGGACAATAATAATATAAAAACAATGATAAAACAGGTGCAGGAGGAGGGGAGAAGCATGGCGTGCTTATACTAGGCCCTCCTCCTCTAAACTATACAAAATTAAATATAATTAATAAATGGAAATAATACAATAGAAAATGGAAATAATACAATAAGGATAATGACATAATGTATGGTATAAGTTAATGACAATGAAAATAAGGTAATGATAATAATTGGTATGAGTTATAATAGGAGAAAACACTAAATAAAACTACTACAGGGGGCTAGGTTCGTTAATCAGATGGTTTTTCAAAGCTTGTTTAAGTGAGAGAAGAGACAAGGTAGGATTCTTTAGGGCTGGAGTTAGTTTATTCCATAAGGTGACACCTTTGTATCTAACCGACTTTTCCTTTGGAATCAACTTTGTCATTCTACGACATTAGTATTGTTTACAAATGTTATTTTTTTGGCAATTAACGGCATATATTTGCTCATTTTGCAGGTGTCTTGTGTGATTTACAGTATAGACAAAAATTCATGCGAGGCACGGATGTCATCCATGTAATCAAATCAACATGGCCCAATGTGGAGGATGATGAAGGTTATGAACAGGAATACAGCCCAAATTTCTTTGGCAATGGAGGCATACCTTACCAATATCCCTGCCTGAGAGAATATACCTGTAATGCTTCCTTGTGAAAAAAAGAGAAACAAACACACTGCGATTGGTTGTAAACGATTTATTCATCTCTCAAAATCCCGGCGTAACATTTCCAAAAATGACAACCATGCATGCAGTTTGAACATCGTGTGTTGATGATTTTTTTCTTTCAGATGTCGACGAAATAATTATCATCTTTAAGAGCAACATGTCATCAGACAACAACCAGAGAGTGTTTGCCGTGCATTTGGCATCGCACGTTTCTTTCTTCCTGATACTACTGTCTGCCGCTTCCAGAACTATCCTATCATGCGTACGACCACATTGGGGTCAAAGTTTACCAGCAATTCACATGCGTTACTCTATTACCCATCATTCAATTTAATTATCATGTTTAAGATAGCTGAATAGGATAGAAAGAACATTGAAAACGCTACAGGTTACAATGATAATATCATGCACGCTGAAAGGAATATTGCACCATGTGATTACAAGGTTCCCCTAAATACTTTTAAAATTGTACACACTAACTACCATCTAACCTAAGTTTTTTGTAGAAGAAAATTCATTGATAAGGAGGGCTGGCAGGTTCTTCTCATATTTATTGCTTGGCGGTTTAATGTCAATTAGTTCCTTTCTTTAGATTTTGTTCGAAAGCTCGCTTTATAGTCGCTTTCACGTGGGATTAGTACAGACAAGGAGGTGACAAGATGTTGGTTTTTTAACTCCACACAGCTCTTACATGCACATTTGCCTACGAACCAGCTCTTTCTATGACGGCAAAATGTATCTACCGTACAGTTTCCACGCTGCCTGTAATCCTTCTGGTGGTTATATAATGATAGACTTCAGTCGCTAACATTATGCAGACAAACGTATGCAAAGGTGTTGATCAGCACACATTATGAAAGACTGACTGCAGGTAAGCATCTAGACCTTTTGCGACGATCACTGTTCAGCACTACTCTTCCAACAGAGTGCTACACAGTTATCAAGGCGCTCGCACTTGTCCCATATCGTTTCTGTAACATTACATCGAACCGCTGTTCATGGGCAACAATAGAAACATTTTACTACGCCTAATAGTCGAACTAGCTTCTTACAAGGTAATGAGTTATACAGTAGGTTGACAGTATCATTGGTCATTAAGTTGCCGGTCAAACTTACTGCAGAATACAAAATCTCACAACAGCTTATGCTCTGCAGTTAGTTCAAATGATTGGAACATCAGGTATAGTTGTTAGCCAGTGTAGCTAGCTCTCTACTCTCTACAGTTGTTATTTTCTACAAATACGGCAGACATTCTTTGCTCTTTAGGTACACACACCAACATTGACGCCACTATCTTATTTACAGGTTTTATCCATTATCATGTTATACTTACATCTATTGAGGGATGTCGCGTGATGATCAAGAAGTGAGATGATTGAGGGAGTCACTACCAGGAGTCGTATGGATGGGAAGGGTGATGTTCAACTATTTTGAGATAGAATCACGTGATAATCTGTTTCCAAACTTTTCCATATTTTTGCTCCTGACATGTTTGGTCAGTCAGTTTGTAAAAGCCTCGGTCACCACAAAACCAGGCAGTTTGCTTGTGTCCATCCATTCCAACATAACGTAATTCTATCCCTTGCCATTTGCTTGGTACATTGTGGATATACATTGGAGATTAAGCATTAAGCAATTCTATTAATGCCTCAAAGAAATTGATTCCAGCAAGGATGGGAAAGTAATCTAAGTTACATGGGGCGTTTTTATCGCATTACATACAATACGAATGATTTGTCGGTGCAATCTTGTCATTTGTTTCATACACTAATCTATGGCTATGGTTAGTTTTCTCATGTTTCTAGAGTATAGGTACCTCTATCTACAAGGACAGTGTATCATATCCAGTCATTCCATTCTACCCCAAGCCCTTCCAGTCCATATGAAACATACGAAGTTCCTTTCACTTCCCCCATCTATATAAATATCAATAGCTATTATTACAGAAGTTGAACAATTGTTAAGCCATTTTGAGCTGCTGCAAAGTCTGTTGACACTGTAGCCATTCTTAATCTTCTAAAGTTGTTGCCCAGCATTTTAGAATATAGTAAGCTAGGTGACGTTTTTAACAACGGTCAAACTGTGAACTTGTAGAGTAAGTTAATCAAGCAACCTCACTTGTTTGTCATTCTATTCCCGCTAGAAGCGTGGCAACTTATGACGGGCCTCGGGCAGTATCGCGTGAACGTCACGTGAATGTCACACGCAGCAATGCGCTGTATGTGTGAGCTGGGGTGCATGTCTGCCAGCCACGCATGCAATCTACAGTTCCGCGTCACAGAGGAGCATGGCAAGTTCGTCCTTGCTCAGCCTGCCATCCTTGTCAATGTCACAGATTTTCAACAACAGTTCCTTGTTCTCTTCAAGTACTTTGGCGTCCAACTCCTGTCAAAACAAACAACAATCAATCTTTTGTATATACACAACATTGAAACAGTACCAAATGTCTACATAATTGCTAAAATAATAATAGTGTATTTTCAAACATGCACAACTCACATAGACTATCTGGCATAAGCTTTCTTGAATTATCAATTGGTAGTAATGTTTTATCGTGACCACAACTTTTAGGACTAGCAAACATTATTTCATCACAAATACCTGGAGCATGTAAGTTAGACCTGCATCTGTAAGTAACAGCTGTGTCCATAATATCACCAGGGTCCATAATATCGCCACCTTGAGAAACAGTGTGCTTTAAGATATTTTTACTGTAACATACTTTTGGTATGCACTCCTTCACACATCAAATGTACATACCTAGGGTATGTTGCAGTAAAAATATCTTTAAACACACTATTTCTCAAGGTGGCGATATTATGGACCCTGGTGATATTATGGACACAGATGTTATATGCATATGATTTTCACATATCAAAAGCCTCCTTGTTGTATTGAATGATCAAGATATTCTGTTTTGTTGGCACTAAATTGCTTCCAATAGACTGACAAAAATGTAGATGATGGCAGTTCAGCACCATGTATTTTGATCAAATTATGCTATGACGCCCTACAGTTTTGTCTTCTTAGGATCCTGAAAATTGATTCATGGATATGATAAAGATATCATGTATTTTCTAAAAACATAGATGATGGCCAAAATGTAGATGATGGCAGTTCAGCACCATGTATTTTGATCAAATTATGCTATGAGGCCCTAAAGTTTTGTCTTCTTAGGATCCTGAAGATTGATTCATGGATATGATAAAGATATCATGTATTTTCTAAAAATATAGATGATGGCCAAAATGTAAACGATGGCAGTTCAGCACCATGTATTTTGATCAAATTATGCTATGAGGCCTTGCAGTTTTTGTCTTCTTAGGATCCTGAAAATTGATTCATGGAAAACATAGAGATATCATGTACTTTCTAAAATTGTAGATGATGGCTGAAATGTAGACAATGGCAGTTCAGCACCATGTATTTTGATCAGGTTATGCTATGAGGCCCTAAAGTTTTGTCTTCTTAGGATCCTGAAGATTGTATCATGGATATGATAAAGATATCATGTATTTTCTAAAAACATAGATGATGGCCAAAATGTAGATGATGGCGGTTCAGCACCATGTATTTTGATCAAATTATGTTATGAGGCCCTAAAGTTTTGTCTTCTTAGGATCCTGAAAATTTATTCATGGATAGCATAGAAATATCATGTATTTTCTAAAATTGTAGATGATGGCCAAAATGTAGATGATGGCAGTTCAGCACCATGTATTTTGATCAAATTATGTTATGAGGCCCTAAAGTTTTGTCTTCTTAGGATCCTGAAGATTGTATCATGGATATGATAAAGATATCATGTATTTTCTAAAAACATAGATGATGGCCAAAATGTAGATGATGGCAGTTCAGCACCATGTATTTTGATCAGATTATGTTATGAGTCCCTACAGTTTTGTCTTCTTAGGATCCTGAAAATTGATTCATGGATAGCATAGAGATATCATGTATTTTCTAAATGGCCAAAATGTAGATGATGGCATTTCAGCACCATGAATTTTGATCAAATTATGCTATGATGAGGCCCTAAAGTTTTGTCTTCTTAAGATCCTGAAGATTGTATCATGGATATGATAAAGATATCATGTATTTTCTAAAAACATAGATGATGGCCAAAATGTAGATGATGGCAGTTCAGCACCATGTATTTTGATCAGGTTATGCTATGAGGCCCTGCATTTTTTGTCTTCTTAGGGTCTTGGAAATCACTGATATCATAAAGATATCATACCTTTCACACTTTGATTGTGATGTATTTTGGCCAGCTTATAAATAATATTTGACATATCCTTGATGCCCAAGGCAAAATATTTTCTTCATGATGAAGTTACAGTCTTTTCAAGAAAAAACATGAATGTCTTAGGGTGTTTGTATTTATCTTCACGTAGGTACAGCATTCAGTATCATATCATTCCATTCTCCACAATACTAGTACAATCCATTAGGCCACACCGATTTAATTTTATGGATGACATCCTCTGAAGACCCCCAAACTAGTGCGCGCGGGCGAAAAAATAAAAATCCGGCCAAAAATAAAAATGCTACAAAACCACAGGAATACAAACCTGGTATTTTGGATTTGGCGCATTACATAGCGACGTATACGACAGGCCGACACATGCTGGCTTTTTGCGGAATATATGAATCGACACTGCTGTACGTATGTACTGAGTTCTTGAGTCTTGGAGCTTCGGTAGCCTGGCTGCCGTCAACCAGAGTTATCACCACCATGCACTACCCAGGCCTAAAGCCAGGCCAGAGCCTCGGGATACGTGATTTTTTTTTTTTTGAGATCGGGCGAAAATCAATGCGCGCGCGGATGTCATCCATAAAATTAAATTGGCGTGGCCTTATCTATGTTGACTTCTGCAATGCCAGTTGTATACCTGACACAAAGGTTATGCCTGAGTGAAATAACCGACACTTGTGACATCGAAGATTGGGCTTCTGCAAATTTCAATAAAGCACCCCTTACTTACTCTCCACCCCGCCTAACGTGAAATAAGGCAACACCACTTTAATTTGTTGGTTCACGGATTTGCCTGCTTCATCTTTTTTTATGATTAAACAAAAATTCTGTTCCAGAATCAACTGAAAAAAAATGCTCATATTTTTCCCTGAATAGCTAAAGACAGTCCTTTTCTTCCTAGTTCTTACAGTTTTTCCATCTACCAATGCAGTGGTTTCATTAAAAGTTCAAAATTCCTTGTTTAAATTTTGAACCAGCCTGTCATGTTGACATCATGGCTCCTATCATAGCATTTGGAGGCTATAATAGGATGCCTAGACCTGGGGGGTTTTTTTGCCCTGTTGCTTCATATTTTTTTCTGAAAAAACATCAGAGAACCAACAAATCAAATTGGTGTGGCCTAAGACCTCTTCTTTAAAATGTAATTGATTTTTTGCCTTTGGCAGCTAAGAAACAGGTACGGGAACACGACACGTAAGACAAGTAGGAATCAAAATAGTTTCTGAAAGAAAGTGGCGGGGTTGGTTATTGAGTTAGTCTGGTGTCCCGTTTTTAGTTGTGTCTCCATGCAGGCAACACACACAAACACAGCGACACACAAGCAAAGGAATAAGCGTTAAGGTATTACCTTGTTTGTCAATCGTGCCTTTAATTTCTGGAGCCAACCCAGCAGGCCCTTGGCAAAAAGAAAACGATTCAGTCTTAAAAAGTCTCCAAGGAACCAACAATTCAAAGAAATCACTGAATTCAGCCTAGAATTGTCTTTATAGAGCCAAATGGATAGGGCTATAGTGTAGTTCTTAATACTGGTATAAGTCTCTTCTACTGGACAGTTCATGCAATTGTGACAACACCTAGTGCATGCTGTTAGTTGTTTGCTTATGTTGTGACATGTCTCTGTCTCATAACAATTACGGTCCATACTGGAGAAGACAAAAAGCAGCAAAGTTTTTTAGCAACTGGATCAGGAAAATTGCTGGGATATAAGTTAGCATCAGCCTTGTGGTGATATCACTTAGATTTGATATTTTTTAAATAGTTATTTATTGTAACCGTCGATTCAAAACACACCTTTCTTTTGCATGGGAATGCAGTTGAGCAGAATCTAGCTATCAAAAAGTTTTTTATTTGAAAAATGTATTGAGTGCATCCTTGTGTAAGTTGAAAACCTGCAGGACACATGTTTATTTTCATGTGACTTCTGCAGTTCTGTATAAAATAGCAAGGGTTTTCATTTTGCAAAGACTGCAGAGCAAAATCTTTTAACTTGTGTCAAGTAGTCTGCTCACAGTATGAACCGTAATTCTTATCCTTTAACTCTATTTGACATGCAACAGTGATTGAAGTTCTGCTCTCGTCTACATTTCTACAGTTTTGTAAAAAAGAAAAGAAAGAAGAACAAAACGGAGCAGATTCGATGGCATTTCCCACAAGCTATGGCATTTTGGCAGATCGAGGAGGGTGCGATACCTTTATAAAGCCAAGTGAATCATTTCCAAGCCAGTCTGCCTGCTGTGGAATAGGCACCAAACACAATAGATATGAATGGCAAGCCGCGGTAAGTGTTATTATGCAGGGGGGGTTGTGAGACAGAGCTTGAGGGGCCATGTCTATGACGACACACTGAGCATGCCATCTAGAGCTTCTCTACGTTTGTTATTGATCCTAGTGATCGGGGGCTCGGGCGGTGCTACAGTAGGAAACAAAGGGCTGGGGTTACCTCAACAGAAAGAGTCTGTGGTAAGTGGGAGGTCTGTTGAAAAGATAAGATACCAAGACAAGTTGTGATACACTCCGGCAGACCACTGGACATCGATGGCACACACAAACCAGAGCTCGTAGACACAACACAACCACCAAAGAGCAACGTCACACATGGATATATCTACTGAGGAAGACCAGAGTGACTGGTCGAAAGCTCTAGGTGAGAGAACTTTTTTGTGTTGGACCAAAAGTTTTAACTTTAAACAGGTAACTAACAACACAGATGAACTTTCCTGATTGGATATATTTTTGTATGGTGATATTAGAGCCGGATGCATAATAGATTTCTGAACAATGTGAGAAAATGACATTTCAGTAAATTGTCTGGCTGCTCTTTGTAGTAGAGTTGTTCTCATATGATGCTATACATCACAAGACAATAATACATGAGAAAAAAGAAGAAGCAATAATTTAGACAAGATATGATGGACCAGTCCCTCCAGGTAATGATTACAGACTTGTAATATCAGCTTGTGCATTCTTAATTATAAAAGTATTGCTAAAGGGAGGTTGATACAAGTGTTACACATTACTTTTCATATGAAAGTCTGTCTGACAGAATATATCATTCACTTTCTTGAAAGAAAACTTTGACATAACTTTGCACATAAAAGTGCACTATTTAAAATGAGACTGGTCCACTAAGTACAACAATGTAACAGCACAGTGTATCAAAGATGAGATTTAGAAAGTGCGATCCTCTCAAGTTGAGTAACTGGTGCAGCATTCCTCTTGTACACATGGGATGTGGATTGGTCTAAGTGTGTGGGGGGAGGCAGTGTGACATAGTAAAGACTGAAACTGTTAGAAACATTTATTCTGTAAGAAAAGAAACATTTAACACACACGGACAACACGAAAGAGAAACAGAAAAGAGTGTTAGATCAACATATAACTCGAGCAACTTCAAAGACACAAGATACCTAACTAAGTACAAGACAGACAACAAGACACAAATAAAGTATCAATAGTGTAAGACATGATTTGTATGCACATGTTCATGTTGTAATGATTGTAACTCATCAATCAAATACATTAATTAGAAACTTTGCTTAGAATCTGTGTTGGATTAATTTCTTTTATAACCATCTATTGAAAAATATTTTGATTAGTGTGTAGTGTTTGGGTTGGATATGGGATACTAGTAGTAGTACATGTATCTTGTGAATGCTGTGTGATTCCTAGACAATTGTATGAATCGACATTGTTCTTAAACTGAATGTTTAAGATTAGGAACATGATGCAGCATTTTAATGCAATTCGAAAACGGCAACAGTGGCCATATTTTGCAATGTGCACTTCTGCCTTTAACCGATAGACGACGCTGCATGAAACTTACGTCTTTTTCGCCATGCTCCATCAGGTCCTTCAGAAGCCCACACAGTTCACTGTCTTCAATAGTGCCGCTCTTATCCTGCAAGAATGTCAAGTTAGGGATTCCGATTAAAATTTAATATCCGGGAATAGTTTCATCAGATCAGCTCTTTTTACACAATTTATCGAGTGTTTTATTCACAGCCGACGTTTCGGTGACCATCTGATACCTTCCTCAGGGCAATTCTGACTGGTTCACATTGCACTGCAGCACAGGTGTCGCTGCTACAGATGCATTCCCAAACGTACAATATTGACATATCTACACATATACATGTACGTGCACGGTTACAGGGAACTGTATCTAAAATTTATTATACCAGCAATAACGTTACAATTCATCGCATGAGAGGGGGGGGGGGAAGATGCAATATACTAAGATCGGGCCGAAACAAACGCCATTGAACAGAGACTGTGGGCATTGCAGGCTTTCTGACACTACGACTCGTTACACATTGGTCACATTTCCACAAGATCACGTGGTGCAACTAATGAGTCATTCCGCATGAAGAAGGCAAGAGCGACATTTGAAAATTTGACTTACAGTGAGCATAAAGATGTTTATAATTTTTAATGCCCATATACTACTGTACTAAAATCACTTTTTGGACAGCCCCTCTCTAATGCTTAGGTCATATTTCCAAACCGGGGCCCGGCCGGGCTGTTTGTATGAACAGAAAATTAACAATTCATATCAACAATATACAGAAATGGTGCCCATGATTATTATTAAAAACTTTACTGTGTTTTGTTGCCGTTTTTAGCGTACTTTTCGTTCTCAAAAGCTGGACCGGGCCCCGTGTGGGAATTGTGACCTCAGCACAACTATTTCAACTATTTCTCTATTTCAAATAAACATTCTGACCTACATTTTGTTTGTTAAATCTTACCTTGTCGTAGTGAGCGAAGATTTTGTCGAACTCTTCGCGGCTCACCCTTGACCCCTATGGAAAAGATACAGCATTTATGTACGATCTTCCACTGTCGTCGCAAAATGCGCTTCTTTGCAAGGCCTATGTGACCAGCCCACACTTGAATCTCCCACCCACCAAACTACAAAAACTACGCGCTCAAAAGTTACAAGATGATGATAGCTTAGAGTGAGACTACTTTATTTCTAAAGGAGCTTTGCAGTTGTCTCGAAATGTCAGTACTTTTATTTGTTTGATTGTGTGAGGAAGAAAGCAGGGAGGAGGGAGGGAGTTCTTACCTCGAACTGTTGAGAGGGAAAGACATACGAAAAATGGTAAACATTATTCTCAATTCTGTCATAACATGCAGTTTCCACAAGGCTGATTAGGGCCTTGATAATCTTATCTGTTTTACGCAGATGATTGGCATTTGTCTATAAACTAAAATGATCAAGGCACGCAGTTATTTTCTTTCTGTCTCCTTAGTAACAACGTATTTGGAGTACGTCGAGTAGATACTTTTCATGCATAGGCAAAAAATTGGAACTCATCGCTGCCACGGTTTACTGACGCATCTAACAACAGCGTTGACTCAGTCATTCCAGTAACATTGTAGCTTAGGCTGCTTGACTACGAAAATCTAGGTTATCCACTAGGGAGCAGTCCACATTGCTGTTTCCGGCCACAACGCTTTTCAGGCGTTTACATGTATAGGAGCTTATCATAGTATTAACAAAATACTGCCAGATACAGCAAGCAAGACACGAGCACAACTGAACAGACATCGAAAGCAGGACGCATGCAAAATTGGAGACATGAGCAATGGACAGATAATGTAGTAAGCATTTGTGTATATCTCAGATAGGTCAGGTAAAGAGTTCCTCCCAGGGAAGCATACTCACGATCTATGTACATGAACAGCGTGAGGGGGAGAAAAAATGGTGTCGATGAATCGTGAGACACAGACGCATGGCACGACAAACAACACGTATGTTACGCCAAAAATCAATTACTCAAGCAACTGAATATGATTTTGGAAACGGTCAGACGCTTCAGCTAGTATCCACTAGCTTTCGTCAGTGACTGAGAGACCAGAAGAGAAATGCAGGTTTATAAGCACACAAACTTTTGATTGATATGCAACTTATAAACCTGCATTTCTCCTCTGGTCTCTCAGTCACTGACAAAAGCTAGTGGATACTAGCTGAAACGTCTGACCGTTTCCAACATCATATCTAGTTGCACGAGTAACTGCTTTTTGGCGTATCTTATTACCTGGATGTCTAACCTTCATCGACGTAACATGTATGTTATACTTGCCCGCTGAGTTAGCCCACAGCTTGTGCTTGAGATCCAAATACACACTACGACATTCTGTTCATATTGAATGTCCAACGACTTTTTTGGCTCTCCGATTCTGAAAATATTCCTTTTTTGCACTGTTCAGTTTCCATTGACATGTACATGAATCAAACTTCGTCACAAAATGGCTGTTTCAAAAACCAGACTCTGCATCATCTAACACAACGTACTTAGATTGGACAACGTCTCAGTGTGTAGATAGGGATACATCATTCTATAGATATGATTTGCTGCGTGTCCTTGCAACTTGCGATCTTCCGTTAACACTGGAAGTTTGATTTCCTTTCAGTGTCGCAGATAAACTCCATTCTTTATCTTAAATGGGCATCGGGTTCTGTCACACACAGGTCAGTGCCCCCGTGTGATATAGACTGTCTGGTGCTACAGTGTTCCATGACGAATCGTCGGTAGGAATGCACCTGACAAGTTTTCGCGCCACTCTGTCCAGTGTCATTGGTCATACGCAATCTCAGCAGACAGTCTTAGGCCAGAGCAAGTAATTTCTATGGATGACATCAGCGCGCGCAATGATTTTCGCCTGATTTTGGAAAAAAAACAAGAAATTTCGTTGCCCTATGTCAGTCGTCAACATGCCGAAATAGATATCTGTTGCCATGCCGGAATGTAGATGGCAGATAAATACGAAGAGAGGAGACAAGACAAGGCTCTGATTTAATGTTCTGTCTTTTACTTTAATTGATGCAATGGCGTATTTCATTTCTTTATATGTGATGGTAGCTGTGTACATGTGATATTCCCACCGAACGAAATCATTTGTGCAATAATTGAAAACTTTTATTTTTAGTGAGAAACTCATGTTGTAATAGTTGGCAGTAAACAATATAGATATCATGTGTTGATCAACAAGGTTTACGATGACAAAAACTGAAAATGTAGAAATCTTGTTTTTTTTGGCCCGCCTTGTTTTGTTTTTGCCCTATCGCATTAGATTTGGAGTCTGCGGAGGATGTCATCCATAAAATTTACTTGCTGTGGCCTTATGTGTCTCATGCGGGGATGGGGGTTAATAGTGTTGAAGAAAAGCCCACCAAGCATGACGGGGGCGACAGGACCAGAGGCAAAATGTCTCACAAAGAGAGAACAACACGATGCATCACGAACAACCACAGTCAAAGATCAAGAGAACTGATGTGACGCCATACTACCATTTCTACAGTTAGCTGGCTCTAGTAGACCAGACGATACTCTTCTACAGCAAGGAAAAGATCTTGAAGAAAATTAAGCTGTTCTCCAACTCAAAAAGAAATTAACTCATCAGGAAGACTGAGTGATTCAGTCGAAATTTTGAGTTGGAGAACAGTTTAAGTTTTTCATAACTCATCAGCTTGATCACCCAAGTGCTTGGGTCATAAAACTGATGAAGACTGTCCGATTCAGTCGAAAATTTCTGGTGAGTTAATTTCTCGTTGAGTTGGAGAACAGTTTAATTTTCTTCATGTATTTTACCAACTCATATGAACTTTTATGCAAGGAAAACATCTGTTTTGGGGGGTTCAAACATTGTCGTAAGACTTCATTGTACATATGTTGCATAGATAAAGGCACTGAGAAGCTTTGGCCAATAAGTGAAGTCCTTACACTTCATCGATGGCAGTTCTTCATAGGTTCTTCAGATTTTCAGTAGACGTTTTTTTATATACTCTTGACACTTTTTTGGGTTGTCTTCAGCAAACGTTGACGTGTTAAAGTTTAGGTGATGTCTTACAAAAATAGACATTGGAGACAAGCTGTAGACGACATATTAGAAATGGTAGTATAGCCACAGGGTTTAGAACACGTTTAATACAGGAACATCGGCTCACCTGAAATTGCGTGAGGAAGTTCTCTTTGACAGGGAGCAGCCTGCAGAAAGGAAGAACGTGAATAAACTTACAATATTGGGTGGCTATAATATATATATGCTTTAATCACATGATATGGCATAACAACAGTAAGTATACGTTTAGTGGGACATCAGTAGGTACCCAAACTTTTATGATATATATACTAGATACTTTCAAAGACAGCCTTCTTTTTCTTCAGCAAAAAGATTTCCTTCTTGATTTGTCATCCTTTGTCAGACACTTAACATTTCTGAGCTCGTGTAGTTGGGTGTGGGTATACGTGGAAAATTTCAATAGGTTTTGTTTTTAATTTTTGCCTGCTACAAGCAAGAGCCGACAGCATTCGAACACAAGGGGGGTGATAAGAAACGGGGAATGTACACTTATAGACAAACACATCATACAAACTTTGACAGTTCCTTTAGGTCCAGTTTGCCATCCTCATTGGTGTCGAATATCTTCAGCTGCGAGAGAATACATTCACCCTGGAGTCAACTACCAATCTCCGCTGACTAATCTACTAACTAGGTTGGTTATGGTTAGCGAGTTAACGAACGGAGGGTAGAAAAGGTTTGGGATACGAACTGTGCCATTTCTTTCAGCTCCAGTTTCCTGTCATTGTTGGAGTCAAACATCTTCAACTGTAGAGGGGGAAACATTAGTGGGGTTAGTTTGGTTAGTCCAGGGCGTTAGTAGTGTGAGGAGGCCACATACACATTTTTATCTAGCAGACGACGTGCCAAACTACTAAGGCCACACCAATTTCATTTGTTGGTTTCCGGATTTTTTTAAGAAAAAAATATGAAGCGACATGGCGAAAAAAATAAAAATAAAAACAGGTCTAGGCATCTTCTTATAGCCCTAAATGCTACGATAGGAGCCATGAAGTCAACACAAAAGGCTGGGTTGATATCTAAACAATGAATTTTGAACTTTTAATCAAACCATTGCATTGATAGATGGAAAAACTGTAACAACTATATATAGGAAGAAAAGGACTTTCCTCAACTGTTGGGACCAAAATATGAGCATATTTGAATTGATTCAGAACCAGAAATTTTGCAAATCAGAAAAAAATGGAGAGGCGAATCCGACAACCAACAAATTAAATTGGTGTGGCCTAACCAATGCAGCAAAGGGATTTTGAGTTGCAGCTGTGGACATGCGGACACAAACTGATTACAAAACTCCGTCCGTTGTCACTGACTGATCACTTTAAAGAAATAAAAAGGGGCCTAGATACGAAAATTTATATTATGTAGTCTCTGTTACAAGGACTGCTTGCAAGCTAGAGTGGGACATTTCAATAGTTTGAGGTGACAACATTTAATCACACATTTCTTTCCGTATTGATTGATGTTGTTATGTGTGTGTTATTAAGAACCCAGTTATGTATTAAACATCTTGAAATATATTAATTTCATTATTATACGTATGGGAATGGTAATATCGAAGGGAAACGTGGGATAGTAAAGTAGGACACCAAGTTATTATGACAAGTATGGGCATCTTATTATCGAAATTAAAAGAAATCTTTAGACTATATTTAACTGTACAGAAGTAACGTAATAACATTATGCGCTATTTTTCATGACACACGTCTAATATTTTCATACAATTTAACATTATATGTGTAATTACACATTATATGTGACGTGCAATAGCTTGTACGTAATAGCTTGTGCAATGTCTTCTAGAAACAATTTAAGCACTAGTGCCACCTACTGTGCGTTCAGGCATATAAAGGTTTGTACATGAACATATACAGCGTGCAAAATACCTGGTTGCCAAAATTTTACTTGGGGCAACCTATTTTTGAACCCAGGTAGCCCAGTGTGCTACCTGAATACCCCCCCCCCCAAATCATGCCCACTTGGCTTGCACCACTGTATCCGGTAGATGCTTTTTAATTTTAGGTATTAAGTTAACTAAAGGCTGTTAGAAATATTGTCAAAGGCTTATGTATGTAACATTTCTTAATTTAAGGAAAGTAGTGACGTATAGGTGGGGCAACATAAAATTCTGAGGGGCAACCTAAATTTTGCCCACTGGGCAACCTGGTTCAAAAAAGTATTTTGTACACTGATATATATAGCTCTATATCTGTACATCGTTGACAGTACTTACGATGGTTTCCACATATTCGGCTAGTTTATCCTCGGTGACGTCTTTCCCAGCCTTCGATAGCAGGTCTGTTAAGAAACTCTGTTGGAAAGGATGCAATATCAAGAGTTGTTGTAAATTCAATTTTCTCCTTCTAGTAGTGTTTACATTTTGTCTTTCAATTTCACATGCAACATTTTGGAGATGTGCCTGGTGTACGGTATCCTCAATGTCAAACTATCACCGGACTTGTTATTGTTACCTTGATATAAAATAGATAAGTCAATGCTTGTTTTAATAGTGTGTCGATTAGGTAAGAAGAGATCGTGTGCTTACTCTTAATTCCTCGCTCTCGATATATCCGCTGCAGTCGGCGTCATACTTCCGCCAGATCTGTAAGAAGCGAGCAATGTATTATATACATGCACGTACTGAACATCAAGCATCATATGTAGATGAACAGTGCTTGTACACTTCATCACTTGCTAAAATAGCATTGCGGACAGTTTTTTCCCTTATAATTTCATATTATGCCTTCGTATACTGCAACTTTCGTGTCCTTGTGGCTTGTGTGAAGAACTGCCTTTTGTCTCATTGCTGAACGAAATGGATAAACAGAAAACAGAGAATCCGCTCAATACGCCTGAAGACCTGGAACAGCGGGTAACCCTAAAACATAGGCCTGACCACCGTCGTATGTCGGCTGCAGCTGGGTTCAACTGCTCAAACGATTGTTCATCTTATTTACCGGATGGCTTGTGTAAAGTACTGCCTTTTGTCCCATTGCTGAAGGAAGTGGAGAAACAGAAAACAGAGAATCCGCTCAATAAGCCCTAAGACCTGGCACAGCGGATAACCCTAAAACATAGGCCTGACCACCGTCGTATGGCGGCTGCAGCTGGGTTCAACTGCTCAAACGATTGTTCATCTTATTTACCGGAAGCCGTCCAAAGGTTATCAAGAGTACAGGAGGCAGTTTCCCTAATTTGCCCATTCATCATCGAGATGATGCAAAAGATAAGATTCTCCAGCTAGGCTCACAGGTTGCTGTCATGAACACCAATGAGCCTCTAGAGCTGCAGGACATACTAGTACTCTGTTTAATGAAAATGAATGGACAAGCTTATAGGAAAGAATATATAACTATCCACTCAAGAATGTGAAAGATCTTGGTTGGGGAGATCTCCACCCTACAGAAGTAAGATGGCGGACAGTACGGAGAGGACGTCTTGTTCATGCAGGTCACGTCTGCACATCACTCTTAACCAATCGATGCAGCGCCGGGGTGCCCAAATATTGTGTGTCCTGTCGGTGTATCAATCAAGCCGGGAATTACAGGTAAACCCGGAGGAAATAAACACATTTTCAAGCCATCTCTCCGGCGCGAAGGTGGCTATAAAAACATCTATTAAATCGTCGACGATTTAGGGTTCAATTGCAACACGCCAAATCCTGGAAGACGCCGTGCGGCAGTGAAATGTGACGTTGGTGAAGATGAGGAATTGGTCGTGAATTACAGATCATCTTCCGCCCGAACATTTCAACATAGCCTGCCGGAGAGAAGAGTGATCATGATCGTATCCAGTCGGAACTCAGCAATCTCGAAAAAAGGAAAAATAATTTTCCTCACAGAAAAAAAAAGTTAAAATTAGAACGAATTTAAAGTTGCCCTCTTTCTCACTAACGTCATTACTCCATAATGTAGAGGTAACGGTGTACCAAAACCTGTTTTCTACGATATCCACTGTAAGAAACAGGGGAAACAGATAAAAACCCTTCTGGTCCCGGGCCGGGGTTCGAACCCACGACCTCCCGTGCACCAGAGCTTCATAACCAGACGCTCCAACTGCTCCGCTAAAAGGTCTAGACCCGTTTGCCGAATCTGTTGGTAGCGCCTATAAACCCCCCACTGTTACAGTTTCAGTTTGTATCAAACCACACTGATGACTTGAATCTCGTATTTGTGGCAACAGTGGACACAAATGATATAGACGTAAGAGTAATGACGACACAGAAGTTATCTACACTGAAATAGCCTTCATACTTATGAGGATTTGTATGCGTAACCGCTATATCAAACCAAATCATTATCAGCTAAAGAGGGGCTAAAGAGAGGGTTTAAATTACTGTCTTCAGACTGCAAACGGCATGTACCAAAATGTGGTACATCAAAGATATAGATGAAGATTACAACAGCTATCAATGGTCCAGGCTATGAATGCAATTAACTTCTTCGTTGACACTAAATAACTAACTTCAAGCAAATTAATTGCGTAGACATTGTGACAATAGTTAGGCACACTTTTCACCCCAGGTGCAATGACCGTTTTCTTTGCGTTTGCTGCGAAGCTGTAGAGAAACTACGTCTTTTTTTCTCTCTTGACAGATTATATCTCGATCAAGGCATTCTCGTAAGACCCTCATATTACTTCTGTAAGTCACCGAGAGGAGGAGGACAGACGAAAATGCCAAGCGCTATCGCCGTTCTTCCAGGCGCCCCTCCCCCCCCCCCACCACAAA